TGTTTGTTTTTTAAATTTTTTTAACACTGTGGAATATCTTAAATTTGTGATCAGAATTTTCTCAAGCAAAAGAAACTTCAGTCTTGCTAAAGAAATGGAATGGAAATACCAGGCAAATACAAAGTCAAATCCTCCTGACAGAAAATCTGTCAGAGGTGGACAGAACCTGAGGAGCTTTGGGAAATTTACTTTCCAGTTTTTCTGATTATTTTTCTCTTCCCTGGAATGGATTTGAGATTCATTACAGTCTTCAAATAAGAGCCTAAAAAATTTAAGATCTGATATAGGATTTCAGGTGTCTGAAAAGCATATTCCCTGAGTTCTACTCAATTGCCTCTGCAGCCAAGGGAGCAAATGTTTTATGTTAGTTATTTTATTTGTATTAAGGTAAGCCTTGGCCAACTCAAAATTTGGTTTCCTGTTGTGTCCAGAAACACACAGAAAATGCTTCTATTTAGTGGGAGGGAGAGATGTTCCCTCCCACATTCTGTCCTCCACACATGTGGTACATTCCTTCTTTTTGAGAGCTATACATCAGTTCCTTGGGATAGAGAGGGAGCCCTGTGCCCTGGGTGCACCAGGCTAGAGTGTATTCTGTAAAATAAAATTTATCCTTTTAGGGAAGAAAGGATGTGTGTGAGCAGTTTAGTTTTGTAACTTGTTTATGGACTTAATCTTTCTTGTGATGATGTGCTTTCGTCATTTAGAGCAGAGGCTGCTTCCTTCACCTGGACTGCTGCAGAAGTCTGCAAAAAATACACCTGAGGCCAGGACCTGACACAGGACCACAAAAGAATATGCGACTATACTATATATAGACCAATATATAGGTAAATCTAATCACTCAGCAGCAGCAGAGGAGAGTGTGGCCAATGGTAACCTTCTTGTTATTAGTGCTTATGACAAGAAAAGATGTCATGCTCATGTCTCCTTGGAACTGCATCCCCCAAAATGTTCTGTGCCTAGATCTGATTGCTGTCTTTCATTTGGTCTTGCTCTCCTTTGTCAGGAAGGAGTTTTTAACCTCCTACTGAGTAAATGCTGTGGGTCTGATGTAATTCAGGAAGTCCTCTGTCTGATGTGTGTTGGATAAACACTGTTGCTGAGCACAGCAGTCAGTTTGGGACCATTTGATTTTGCATCTGTGCTTTGAGTTTTCCCTCAAGAAGAAAACACTGAAATCCATGTCCTGGAAGCTGAGCATAGTTTGGAAAGCAACTCAAATCGTTGTCTTCCAGTCCTAGTGGTTCATCACCTTGTTTTAGAGCTGTGGGCAGTGATGAAAGTAGTACAAGAAAAAAATAAATTTGCCAGAACTATAATGAGGAGAAAACCTCCTTAAGCCAAGAACCCTTATTTTCTTCCTTTTTCTTCCTTTTCATTTGTTGTTTAATTTGGCAGCATCTGCTTTAAAGTTTGTCAGATCAGCTGTTGGTAACTGAGATTTGCCTGAAGTTTTGACTTGCAATATTACAGTGTTAAATGCATCATATGGATGAATATTGAATTAATTCAAAAATCTGGTTTTGACTGTTAAGGTCACCTAGCCTCAAGAGCTCACAGCCGTGCTCTCCAGATCTGAGTGGTGTTTGTTAACAATGAGAAGCAGGATACCACCTTATATACAAATTCCCTTTTTGCTTCCCTCTTCATTGTACTGGATAAAGCCATCTAAGCATGAACAAACACTGATACATTATTGGCGGCTTTCCAGCCAGGGTATGCCCAGTGGGCTGCCTTTGTCTGGATAGCTCAGTCCTGCTCAGCACAGCCTGTCCGAGCTCCCAAGCAGCTCCTAGCCGCAGGCAGCCTTAGCAAGCTCAGCTCTCAGTGATTTCAGCTCTTTAGCGATTATCAGCTCTTTGTGATTTCAGCTCTTTAGCTTGCTAGGTGCTGCAGCAGACACAGGGAGAGAGAGGAGAAGCGCTGTGTGAGGTTCCAAAGAAATTCTTTATTGGGGTCTTCTACGAAGGTTCTCAGTGACAGCTCTTCTGCTGCACCAGGGAGAAGTAGGGATTTATATAGGTAACAGGGGTTTTGGAAACTGTCCAATAGAAAGGGTCAAGGGACAGTGACCTATAGGCTTACAGAGAGATAAGCAGGGTCCAAAGGCGGAAGAGAGGGGCCTCTAGGGCCCAGTCATCATGACTTGGCATTTCCTAGCTCAGGCTTCTGACCGCCAAGGAGCCATTACAGGCCCTGGGCCTGCTGCACTGCATTATATCCAGAAACTGCTATGATATCCATTTTGATAGGATACTTGTCAAAAATTATATTGTGAATTCACTTTTGAATGACTTTGTGTGACACACTTGAAGATCAGATTATAAAATACAAGTGGAAAGTCAAATTCATTTACAGTTACTCTAGCTGTTGGACTTAATGCTAATTAAAAAAGTAGGTTTTTTCAGTTTTACATAGTAGAAATAAAATATTGCCTTAAGGACTGACGAAACACTGGAAGACATTTAATGTAGAAATTTTTGAACTGTCTATTGTGTATCTCTACTGAGTAGTTTTAGCAAAGCAGACATTGGATCTAGTGTTTAACCTACTGCTGTTCTGAGGGGGTATATAAACCTGGCAACTGGCATGATGACCTCTTCAAGTTCTCTAACAGGAAGGAATTCAGTAGCATTAGAAAGGCCATTTTGGCAACAATCCTGTGATTCAGAAACAGTACTCAATTCTTTGCTAGACTTATTCCACGCTATGATATAACTTTGTAACTATTTGGAATATTTATCTTAAATTCTTTCATTAAAGTGGCCCATAAATTGTACTTATATAATTTCCATTGGAGTCCTTTGGGGTAGGTATTTCTTATTCCCATTTTATAGAAAACAGCCATAAAACATTAACAGAAGAAAAAAGAAATCCTACTAGATTTTGTGTCTCCTTTTTTTTAAACCAAAATGAGAGTGGAGTGGAGTGGAATCTCTGAGATGGAAAATCTCCCTTTAAAGTCAAGAGCAAAAATGTTCAAGACAGTTTTTGATGGAGAAACATTTTCTCCCCCCACCTCCCATTAGCTCCATTTCCCCCTTGCCTTCCCTGATTAAAACAATTCCAGAAAAAAAAAAATTTAAGAATAGGTCTTTAAAAGCCATAGAAAACAAACCATTGTTAAGACTTCTGATTATTTTTTGTAAATATTTTTGTCTGTCTCATAAAGGATGATACTGTACATTCACGGTGATGAACTGTTCATTTCTTTCTGAGAAATGCTAGAACATTTTAGGTCATGCTGCTGCTGCTTTACACGCAGTGGTGATGACGATGGCTGTGGAACATTGTCCCCACTGCTATGCACCACCACATCTAATGCTCAGAAATTATGTGGGCCCTGATTTATAACTGCTCCCAATTGTTATTAGTCCCAGTTGCTTCACAGTGACTCTTCAGTGTGTAAAAATAAACACTTGAATTTCTGCAGAATGAGGGTCTTAATATGTAGCTGCATAGGGCTGAGTCTGGCCCTGACCTCATGAAGGAAAATAAACTAAGCATGGAGCTTGTTAACATTTTGTTGAGTCCTTTCACCCAGCTTCAGTCACTGTCACTAATTTGCTTTGCTTATGGTAAAATTTCAAGTGTTTGCATACTTATATTTTGTCTGAATGACTCCGTGGGGTCTTGGTTATTTTATATTACCTTGACTGTCACAAGCAAAATCAGACGCTGATAAAATTATGTAAATGTCAATAAAATAAATTGTTCTATTTTTGCAGATGTTCTTCATCTGGATTGAATTTGATTGTGGATGCTTTTCTTCATGTATAATAATCCAAAGATAAAGGATGAAAGTGTTCTTGAAGCAAAGAAAACACATTCTGAATCTTTACTGTAAATTATACACTATAGAAAATCAGTCCAAATTGTTCAAACCCTTGGACAATTACAATGTTATTCTACTCACCATGCTGAGTACTGTGTAATTATCATGGTTAGCAGCAGTTTGCTTACTCTTAGTCCTGAAGGGAGATGCAAGCTTTACTGAACAAGAAATAAAAGCAGATGTTAGACCTTATTTTGTTTTCTGACTCAGCAACTGAAAATACCCACAGAATTTGAAGGATTTTTTTCCCACTTATTTATTTCATATAGCATTAACAAAACCAGTGCTATTGATCAAATATGCACTGTGCTGTACATAATGGATAGTGTGGTTAGTTGCATGATTAAAGAATTTGCTAAGTTGCAACCCCCAGCTTCATTTGCAAAAAAGAATAAAAAAAATCAGAGATATTGTTCCCAGAGAAGGAAGATCTAATTAACAAGAAACATTTCATTGGTTTTCTAGTTTACAGGATCACCCTTCTCCTATTAAGTCAATGATAGACTTGTTTGCATAGTTAATCATGCAGGAAACATGCTTCACATTAAGTCCATTTGTTTTGTAGGGTTAGTTTACCCATCCTCTTCACAAAGATGACCAGTCTTCCAGTCTTCCTTACTAAAAGCTTTCCAGTAGAGTTAAATTCTAAGAACTTGCTTGGCTTATGGGCCAATCTTTTGGACCTCAATAACTTTTGTGTAAATGTTGTATGCCTTCAATCTAAATGCCAGATACTTCTGCAGACTTTGGGTGGGCCTACTGCCCACTTGACATCAAAACTTGGAGCAAATGGATCAGGAAACTGGTAATAGGAGGCACCTTTGGCTTCACCAGTTAGAGGAGGATGTGGGATTCCTGTTGCCATCAGGCTGTTTGGTGTAGAAGATAGTAATTAATATTTTTATGCCTCTATGTAATTTCTGCTTAATAAAATTTAAGAAGTATTTCCAATCTGCCCACAAATATGCTATAAGGAACAGTCTGAAAAATAGCAACTGTTCTTGTGTTTGGATGTCCTATTAGATATTATAGAGTCTTTCTTTCCCTGGAGAGTTAATCCCTGAACTGGAAACTCCCCAATGGAAGTGTTAGCTAAATTTAGTCTCAGCTAAGTTATTAAAGTCTGCCTGGGTCTTCTGGAATGTGTTACTGGGCAGAGCATGCTCCATAGCTAGATACCTGGAAGACTAGAGCACAAGTCAATGTGCATATGCCCTTGTCTGAAGGTGGCAGCTGAAGAAGGCAGAAAATAAGATTAGTTGCAGTCTTTCCTTTCCTTTGTGTGGTACATGTCTTGAAGGAACTTGTAGAATCTTAATGTGTGTCCTGGAATAACTTCTTGCTACAGACTCACCCTCAAAGGTACGTGAGGTTTGTAGTGGAACTTTTATTTCTCAGTATTTAGATTACTGTGATTTCTCTTTAAAGTGTTTTCTTCTGGTTAAAGCACTTGCAGCTTTGACTCTGTATTGTCACAGATGTGCTCACCTTTCTCATCTTGTTTTTCTCTTTCAACTTTCAGTATCTCTTGGTGCTGACTGCAAGTCCCGCAATCAAAAGATCTTTTTTCTGTATGATATGCTTCCATATCTGTCTTCCTAACTTCTAAACATGTGCAATAGTAGAGGTTTTCATTTTCAGGGATATTGTGTGTTCCTAACAATTGTTTTGGTAGGTATTTCACCTTCTCATCTCGGGTGGGAATAAAAAGGAGAGCTTTCTATTAATTTCCATATACTTGGGCTAGCTTTTTTATTCCTTATCCTTTTAATGTTCCCTGTAAATGTGATTAGGCCATTCAATTGTTTTGGTTCACTTGAGGTCTCTGTGGGATTAATTCAAGCAAATCTTCTGTATGCCCATGCAAGCAAGAGGCAATTTAGGCCTTGTAGGTCACATTTTTATCTAGGTGGGTTCAAAAGGAAGAGGAACACTCTTAAAAAAAGATATTTTATTAGCAAGCTTTGTGCATTTTTAAACTATTGAACAACATTTATATGCATTTACTATAAGCAGCCTTGAGACCTAAAGATAAAAAAAAAACACTGCATAGAAGCGTAGCATTATTATTGTAATAACTTTTTCTATGAAGCCAAGTATTATTTTGGATTATGATACTTAATTTTAGTTCACAAAAAATGGAGCTTTTCTTACCTTGGATACATTCTTGTGCCAACCCAGTAAATAAGGGTTAATTAAACTCCATCCTCTACTGTTCTTTTCCTTTCACTTTTTCCTGGTTTTTGACTGAGATTATAATTTTCTTCAGCTCAAAATTCTTAATTATTTTTTTTTTACTGTAGAATATTCTGTAAGTGCCAGAAGAACCACAGTGAAAACTGTTTTCTCACTTATGTATTTTATTTTAGTGAAAATTCAGTTTCCAAGAGAACAAATATCTTTCCTAGAAGAAAAAAAATAGTGTTATAAGTACCTTTGTGATATACTCACTGTATTCTCTTTTGATCTTTGTCTTGCTTGGAATGGAACACTCAAATTTCTTAAATGGATTTGTTTTAACAAAAAAAAGAAAAAAGAAAAAAGGCTAACATTACTGTGATTGTGTATGTTTTAGAAAGAAATGGACTGAACACACACTGCCACACACACTGAGTTGCTAACGTGTAGGATGTTTCCTTTAGTGTGCTGCAATTAATCCTGCTGAACTGAAAAATTAGCTCACCAAGTGCATGCTACTAATGAGCAGAAAAATAAATAAGCTTTATTGCTAGACTTTACAGGTGCAGTGAACAAAATCAGCCACAACTGCTGGGGTTTAATACTTATTTCTTATTTAAACTAAGTTTTCAGGAACCTCTTAGAGTCTTTTTTTTTTTTTTTTTATGCAAAGGTCTTGAGTGATAACTTGAAAACCAGCCATGGGCTGGACTTGAAAACTAGTCATGGGCTGTTTGTGGGAGAAGCCAGCCCCAAAAAAACCATAAGGTCTGGTGGGAGTCCTTGCTTCTGTGAGGAATAACCCTGGAGCTGAATACTGCTAGGGAAGGAAAATAGCTCTGTTAGCCACCTGAGTGTATTTTGTGTCTGAGAAGGGAGAAGGTCCTGGACTCACAGCCTTTTTTATATTCAGCACTCATCTGGCTGACACTATCACTCACTGTGAGCAGCTTTTCTCTTTCATTTTGGCAAAAAATTACTCAATTAAGTAAAAAAGAAAAGTGCCTAAAGCCTCACACACAGGGAAGATTTCTCCTAGGCACTTAGCTCCTGCACAGCACAACTGCCTAGAGCTGAGTGGCATCCTGTACTTCAGGAAAAACACAAAATATCTTGGCTACTGCTGGGCTTGGTGCCCATCTCCACAGTTTTTTAGCATAGAGTAATGTCACTGAGGAGTTCACAGTACACCAGGGTGTTCTGAAATGTCGGATGGAAAATTGCGCTTCTTGTCGCATATTTTGGTTTTCTCTGGATGTGTGACCAGCTGGTTGCTTTTGATATGGATTTGAAGGAGTCCTGTTGAAAGGTTTAGCTGAGTCTAAGCATTCACAGCTATGTAATCATAGAAGTGGCTGAGGAATCAAGTTCCACAGGTACAGAGCTCTTTATTTTTCTGGTTTGGTAGCTTTTGTCCATCTTCAAGATCAGAAATCTGTAAATGTAGCAACCAACACAAGGTTCTGGTTTACTGTCAGAAAACCTCTTGGTGTCAAGTGGACCTCAGCTGACCAAGCTGTGGCGAAGACTGGTTCTGGTTTGCCATCCCAAAGTCTCAGTTTTAGTTCTAGTCATTTTCAGCCAGCTATAATCAATTTGCCCAAACTCTGCCTTCTGAGGTTTGCCTACAGTACTGTACTGCAACCCTGTGCTGCCCAGCAAACACATTTTCTGAGCTTTCTTGTGGCATTCGGGACTAGAAATTTCAAGCTGAACAAACTGCTTGCACTTGAGCAGCAAACCTTATATTCAAACCACTTTTGAAGTCCTGTCTTCAACTGCTTGGTGCCTTCTCTAGCTGCCTACACGGTATAAAGTGGGTTCCTGGTTCTAAACCCAGAGATCTAGTCTACAGCCATACTGAGGTCTTGCTGTAATGACATTAAAGTAGATTCTGTATTAAACCACTGAAAACCTGACATTCAAACATCTGCTACTGCTAAGTAAATATTATTAATGAATAAGTAGTTCCTCAAAGACTTGTCAGTGCTTATTCTTTGTACTTTTATCAAACTTCTGTATATTTTTTCCATTCTTTCCTCCTATGAGAGGAAAATATCTTTCTTCCCCGAACTGTGGGTAAGAGAAAAGCTCTGAGGAGTCGCATTAATAACCTTGCTCCCTGCATTGAATGGACAAGAACTTCTCTGTGGTCCACAGTTTTCCCAAGATAATTTTCTGTTTGTTTTCCATAGTACTATCTGGTGAATAAACATGACTGTTCCCCACTTCCCATCTCTCACAGCTCGCTGTAGGTGACCAGTCAGCCAGTTGGTGCCAGATTAATGACAGAAAACAGATTTTATTTTCCAAGTCATCTGTGAATGATGGGACTCTCTGCTAATTCCCATGAAAGCTAACTAATCTTCCAATTGAAATACTGCTTTTACAATCCAGGCTGTCATGGGGAGCAGATTTTCTTTTTTTTTTTAAGGAGCAAAGTAAACCACACACAGAATCTTTTTATTGATGGGAGGAAGGAGGGGGAAGGGGAGCTTCACCTCTTTGCTTGAATTCTATTCCACAGAGGCCACTTATATTTCATTGGAAATGTAAGAGCCCAGGGTCAGCCTTTCTTTGCATGGTCACATGGAAGTCTCTGCTTTCTCCTTGTCATCTTCAGCAACAGCAAGCTTAAAACTTAGAGAGGTAGTATGTTTTCTTAGTGAGACACTGTGCAAAACTTACTCAAATGTTGGACTCAAAGTTGAAATCAAGTGTTATATCTTTGGCAAAAAGTATTACAAAAGAATCTGTAAAAATTGCTAAAAAATTACCAAGCTGTCAATCCAGTGACCTGCTACTATTTATCTTCATATTATGTATTAGTTTTGTGGAATGAAATTATAGATAACTATTTAAATAAAAATATACCTTTTGGAATATTACCCTATTTCAAGAGTGAATGTTTGAAAGAAAGAAAATGCTGGTGCACTATTAATGCAACTCAGGCTTACAGGAAACTCTATTTGTTTATATCCCTCTTTTTCTATATTGTCTTCTTTGGGCATTTTGTTTCAATTTAAGGTAAAGCAAAACCACAGTTTCCAACAGGCGTGGGAGGGGATCTCAGGAAAACTGGTGGAATTGTTAGCTTTTTTTTTCTAAGCATTTTTTGGAGAAGCAAAAATCTTTTATCAATGACAGTGGAATTTATTTGTGTTACATGAGAATGGTTCTAGCCACAAGGCTATAATGGAGTCCAGCTGTTCTCTCCAAATCCATCCATCAGCAGCACAAGAAGGTGAAGAAGGCAAATGGTGACTGCCTGAGAGGAGAAAGAGGGCAGCAGGGTGAGGGATGACTGCTTGCTGTGGAGGATCAGGAGCAGGGAAATATGGCTCCCAGAGATGACCAAGGTCAAGCTTGGCTGAAGGCTCAGGTACTGCAAAATACATCAGCATACAAAGGATTCTTCTAACAAGCAAAAATCAGTTCATCAGGTTAATATGTGAGATAAGTTTATTTTCTATGCAATAACCTCAAAGAACATTATTGATACATTTTTAATTAATCTATTTTTAATGACTGAAGATTTTGTAGAACACATATTTAACAAGCTACAAATAATTAACTAATAGAGATATACATATATAGATAATTGGATAGTAATAATTTAAATATAACTATAATTTAGCAAGACTGCTTATTGTCATATAACTTTGTAAATTGTTATTTTAACTGTCGATTTCATTAGTTTATATTTCTCAACAGTTCACTGCATATTTTCTATTAAAATAACTATAGGGGAAATTAATCTATAAACAAATGCAATACAATGATCCTTTTATCTTTAGGTTACAACTTGCTGATCCAAACCTAACTCAGTTGTGGTACAGTTTGTTGCTGCAAGACAATACTGGCAGAAGAACAAATGGATCCAATGAATAAATTCAGCCTGATAATTAGAAGACAGTTTTTAGCCATCTGGAAAAGAAGGCAGAAGGTTATGGAACAGCCTTCATAAGAGTATTGGAATGAAATGGCTGAATTATTTTGAAGATGAAGCTTGAGAATTTTCTGCATTAAACTTTTCAGGATAATCATCTGCAACGATGCAGGGGGTGGGGGCAGAAAAAGAAAAGCTTGTGCTGTGGTGTTCAACCCTTTGTGCAATAAGAGAGAATGAGATGCTGGTCCATAACGATGAACATCTGTGTTACGGAGTACAGAAGATGAATGTGGAGGCCAGGAACAGGATGGACATGTATCACTTCTCCCCACTAAGCAGAGGTGAGCAGTTGCCTATCCCAGGCTTGCTTTGCTGCAGTTGCAAGGATTTTCCTCTGACATCAGTGAAACAAGAAGACATAAGTCGAGTGGCTTCTAAGAGTGCTCTAAATTTAAAGCAAATTTTGGGAGTCCTTTCCAAAGCTTATACTGGAACTCCTAGATGAAAATGGCAATTGGATTAAGATTAACAGAGTTAACAGGAGTCTCTTTAGTCTCTGCTTCCACGGAGGAAAGTTGTATTTCCCAAAATGAGGTCTCGTAGACTGGGGGGCTGTACTGAGTTGAGGGAAGTTGCAATGGTTGGTATTTGGTATTCTGCCTCAAAATGTACTCATTGCTTATTGGTTTTACTATATGATTCCTTCCTCAAAATAGATTTCAAAAGAGGGCAGGCAAGTTCATGGCAACTCAATCCACTGACAGCTGCTGTTCATTGCCCTGAATACAACTTTTGGCTCTGGAACACTTAAGCTGCTGATTACGAAAAGTTAGTGTTGCAGTTCATTTGGGGAGAGCACCCCCGGGTGTCCCCAGAGGGCCCCCTAGGCTGTGAGTTGGCTGGCAGCAGCAGGCAGGCAAGGAGACTCCACACGGCTTCTCAGGGTGCCGACTGATGAGGGTTTATTGGGGGTCCCATCCCCGGGAACAGCATGGCTACTGAGGGAGAAGGGGAAAGGGGGAGGGAGGGGGAGGGGGAAAGGGCCTAGGGGAGGGACAAGAGGGGAGAAAAAGGGGCTAAGAGGGGAGAAAGGCTAAGAGAGCGACTGATCTTGCTGGCACAGTTTAAGAGGGAGATTAAAAGTGGGCGTGGAATCAGATTTGGGCCAATGGGATTACAGATACAGGATGATTCAGGGCAGGACCACAGGTTTAGGATATACCACACATTTTGGAGGGGTGAGACAGAGCGTACCATTTAAATAAAATGCAATACTACATTAGAGGACAGGCAAGACATGAATATGCTCACTAGCCGTGTAATATACTGTCTCTAAAGATTCACTGCTGCCACTTATTGGAACTGGGGCTCTGAAACTGGTAGTCTACAAGCCCCACTCACTATGAAGTCTACAAGCCCCGCTCACTATGAAGGCTCTATGTTCGCTCCTGCTCTTCAAATACATTTTTCTCTCTGAGTTTTTTTGTTCCAAAAGAAATAGATTTAAAGAGTTTTAAAAAGTCGGTGTATCAATTTACATTTTCAAAACCATAGTTTGTATTACCAAGAACCATAAAGGAATATAGATGATTATTCATCTTCTTCAGGAGCTTTTGCAGGAAACTTCCCAAGAAAAGAAATCCAATGGAAAAATCTATTAACAATTTTTGTTGTTTATACAATACATTTGTTCCATGGAATATATTGAGTTGCTAAGAGTTTATGATGTGAACTTTTCTTGTAATTTTGCCATATAAAAGGGAGCAGTCCACCATAACCTTAGTTATGCTAGTTCAACTAGGTAATAAACTCTCACTGGTTTTAGCAACATCAGCATATTGTAAACCTGAACCCTTTATTTACCTAACAATCTTGATTGTTGACTATTATTAGATTACCAAGTATACTTGAAATATTGTGGCTAGTACCATTTCTATGATATTTTTAATAACAATGAAATGCTACTGAATCAGCTACTCTTTTGAACTCTGCATATCACAGACTATTACTTTTAACTAGAACTTCAAAAAGCTTGTTGTAGGTCAGAATGTTTTTGTTCCTTCTCCCCTTCCTGACTGCTTCCTTAGGTGATAGAAAACAGTGTAATATTTATTCACACCGTTAAACCATTATTTGCTTCTGCTTTCAGCTACTTTCTAGAAGGATTTCCTAAATACATATTGCCTTTGCAAGCAAAGAGATATATTTAAACTGATTCATTCATTTTAAAGGGATTTTTTTTTTTGTAAAGAAAGCTCTTTACGTGGAGAATTGCCGTGTGGGATGAAATGTTTTTCTTTACAGCAGCATAAACTTCGAGGGGCAAATCCTGAGAGCAGTCATTTGTTTTCTCTGTGTTAATGGCTTTCAGCTGGATGTCTGTCTGCTGAATAATGACTGTACTGCTACATCAACCAGTCTCTTCCACTACAAAACATGTGTTCGGTTAATGGCATTGACATATTGGAAGCTGGAATGAGCCTCTCCACTTGAGTTGTTCAAACATGATACATCCTACTAGAATGAAATTGAATAAGGAGATGTGACAAAAGAGGAGGATTCAAGGAAGATGCTATTGTGTTCTAAAAGTGCAGCATCAAAGACACTTTGGTTTTTGACATCACTTGTGCTGCTCGTTATTTAATCATTCCCATCCTGAGTATTTATTTTCTAAAGGGAAAAATTGTTTTTCAGTCTTCAAGTCCTATGTTTTTGATCTTTAATATATGCTTGTACTACTGAGTGATGTGAAAAAGTAATAAACAGTAGAAAGCTTGAAGCGCTCTCTAGAAATGCTGAGAGCAAAATTTGAAAAGTACTCAAGCAGCACACAAAATGTCACATCCCTTTCCCATTTAGTCATAGGATTAAGTTATCCAAGTCACAGAGACAATTAGAGAATATATCCTGGGCTTTCTATCTCAAGGATCACACATGGGTATAAAATAAGCACCTTGACTGTACCATAAAGTACATAGGTTTGTGAAATTGCTTTGATTTTTTTTTTTTTTTTTTTTTGTGATTACAGGTGGGAAAATGCATTGTAAGCAACTAAAAAGGAAACGAATTGCCTATAACAATTCAAGGATTGATTTGAAATAGTTATTGATTTGATATTGCCTTTCACCTGCATGAGGGAAGCTGATTATACTTTGAAGACTGAAACTGGTTTGTTTTGATTTGATAGATTTCCATTTAGCCAGGCTAGCTTTTCTTGGTCCCTTTTGTATCCCCCCCATCTGGCAACCTCCTAGGTGGACAGAGGTGCTCCAGGTAATGTGATCAGGGGCAGTAAGTGTGTGAAAAGTGGAAGTGGGAATTAGTAAGGTACCATGTGAAAGCTCATTGGCCTCCCAGAACTGTGTTCCAGAAATGACAAAAGCCATCCATCTTGTGGGAGCAGACCCTTTGGATTTGCTGACAGTAATAATTCCACCCCTAACTCTCCAGTAATGCATTAGCATTAACAGTAATTTTTGCCTCTAGACAGGCTCTGCAGTACAGCATGATGGTTCCTACCCTGTAATTGTAGGATCCTCATTAATCAGAAAGAATATTATGACATTGTGAGCTCACAAGAAAGACAATTCATGACTGACATAATAAAGGCCTAAATTATGCTGCTTTGATGATTGGAGGTGCAATTTTTTTTTCTCTTGTGAAAATAGGATTTAGCAGCTGTATGAAAAAAAATCTGTATAATGAAAGTAGGGAGCATTGAGAGGCAAGCAACACCAGCTTTATCTAAATGAGACCTTTATTTCAAAAGGAAATTAAAATTTCAAAGCTGGTAGTGGTTTTTTTAATTGATAAACCAGAATTTAAATCAGGATTTTGAGGAAGAACTATGTGAGAAGCTTATTGCTGCAGCACTGTATTTAGTATTTTCTACTATTACCCTTTATAATTACCGAAATTTATATATTGTTTTGGCCAGCTTCCAAAATGTGCTCTGACATATATGAAATGATTAATACTGAAATGCATCTCACAAATTTAATGCAAGTATATATAGACCTATATTCATTAGGAGCCAAAGATTGTAAATTATAAATGAAGAAGAGCACAAAAAAGAAAAACTGTTAAATCCCAGTTTCTTCTTCCACTGAAGGTGTGTGGACAAATTCATTCATTTCTTAGAGTCAGCCTGAAGGCTCTTTAAATTAGCACTGCTTTCTGTGAAAGCAATCCATTGGGAACCCAGCATCCCTTAAAGACAGAGGACTGGAGACTGAAGGGTGCTGAGGACGTGGTGGGCCCCAGAGGAGGGCCTTGCCTTGTGTGGCTGTATGTGATTGGCTCAGTGTGCTCTGAAGTGCTGTGATTAACAGGGAAATTCAGCAAAACTGTGGTTTTTCTTCAGGGATTCCTTGCTCCAGAACAGGCTGACTGCAATGCTCATGATCCAAGTAAACAATAACTTAAACAAGCATTTAAGATTCTGGGAGAGCCCCCAAAATCCCTCCTGAGCTGAGCTCCTCTCATGCACTAGGGTTAAAGGGTTAAATTACTTACTCCAGGCACTCGTGTCTATACATAAGTATTTACCTATGTTTAAGTATAGCCCTGACTGCTCAGACAGATTTCTTCTGAGTGCCTTAAAAATTACTCCGTCTTTTCTGGAAAATATGATAGTTGAGGAAAAACAAGGGAAAAAAAGTTATTTTTGAGTATTACACCATCTTTTCCCCAGATGAAATATTCTGCATGCTTCTTCCTTGACCATTGTTTTTGTTTGTTTGAGATTGTGACATGTAGAAGAGTCAAAATTAGCCATTGAGCATAACTGATGGGGAAAATAGCAATTTTAGTTAAAAAATATTTCCTGAGATATTTTTGGTGGTGGTAGTACATAAATGATTAAAAACAAGTGTGTATACAGTTTCTTTCAGGAATGATGCCAGGATAGTTCATGAAATTCTTGTTTTCTTCGTGGCTCATCCCCTGACTTAATGATTCTGTGCACCCTCTGGCACTACCTAGGATGCAATATGAGGGGATACCTAAAATTTCATTTGTCTTTAAATTTAAGACTAGACTGGATTTTAGACATTAATTCACAAAGGTATTTTGTCTTCCTATGGCCACAGGGGAGTGATTAAGTAGGAACAGCTACGCAGTGCCAGAACAAGTTAGACGTGTCCACTTTAGGAGCTGCTGGCTTTGCCCTGACTGCTTTTGAAGCCAATCTCCCAGCTGCCCACGTAACTGTGCTGGGTTTGCACTGGGCAGCAGCCCCAGAGGGTGCAGACTGAACCTTCCAAAAAGATTCACCCAGAAGTTGAGCTTCTTATACTCAGGGACCAGAATGGTGTTAAATTGACCAAAACTTTCCTTAAAATTCATGCAGTGGGTATTCAGGTTTTCAGCATCAGAGATTTTGTACTGTAAATCTGTTCCTGTGGGGATGTGCAACTTGTATCAAAGATACAGGATACTATCTCCAAAGACACTGCCTTGGCTCTTACTTTACACTGAAATCCTATGGTATGGTGGTACGTCAAATTGTGCTGGGTGTCTCTGTAAATACCATTAAGAAGATATACTCAATATCTGTTTGTTTGTTTGTTTTTAATATACCACTGCCATTTATTTATAACTCAAATTCCTGCAGTTGTATTTTTGCTGCCTTCAGGACTGTACCATCTGGAGTGATCTTCAGTCTCAGCCATTTCTTTAGCTCAAACATTCGTTCATTCTTGGGGGAGCTCTCCAGAAGTGCACATTACTTGGGCTGCAAGAATTCTGTGCCTGTGTCAATGATCACATACAGATGGTGTGAAAACACTGGGATCCAGTTGGTTCCCATGGTATTGAGACAAAATTACATGGAATGGAGAATTCCTTCTGAGAGACTAAAAACATGAAGATATTTCTATTAAAATATCAGTCTCTGATTTTTTGTTATATTTGGCCTATCCTAGAAATTCATGAATCAGACTCTTGTGAGAGGCAGCCACTTTTGCTTTTTTCAGCTCTTCTTGGAGGGAGCTGCCATGTTTCGTCACACTGACCCGGGGTCAAAGAAACATAGGACCAAAAAATGTTCATATTCAGATTCACCTTGAAGAGTCTCATGGCAAAGGCCTCATATTCAAAACTTTATCTAGAAAGGTGGATTTAATGAAATACCATAGAAACAACGAAATCTATTTTGAAGTTATATTTAAAATCATGACATATTTTTGTTAGTTTGAAAGATACTTAAAATTAAGTATGCATATGAATTCAAAATATTTAAGTCTCCAAAATGAAAAATTGTTTCTGTCATTGAAAATGATGAATTTTTCCAAATTGCCCAACTGTGCAGGCTTGCATAATGCCACTAAAATAGCCCAAATGAAAACTTACAATGATGCAGTTGTGTTGGTTTTATTTTTTTCCTCTGTGAGTGGAAATTGATTTTCTCCAATCTCTTCGAATATATTGTGTGCTGCTTAATGACCAGTATTACAGATGTCAGAGAGAGATTCACCAAAATGCTAAAAATCATACAAAGAGTGTAAGAATTCAAGCAGGAATGATTCATATTGGTGGTGGTATCTGCAGCTCTACATATGTCTGTTCTGCCTACTTGCGCTTCTAAACACTGAAGTTCAAGCTATATTGATAAAACATGGATTTTAATGATAATTTTGTTTTTAGGGGTTGTACCTGTATGTGATCATGTTTTAGTAATAGGATTATTTCATTTTATTCAAGTATTGTGATGTATAATATTAATTAATTAAATTGTATTATGTACTAATAAACATGCTAACAGTGATCATATGCTTAAAATACTAGCTACTACAAAAAAAAAAAAAAAAAAGAGGAAAAAAAGAAAAAAAAAAAAAAAAAAACATCAGAAAGACTGCCCAACAGTTTTTTTCAGCAGCTGGACAAGTTCTCTTCTTCTAGGCCTTATCAGCAGTAAAGAGAACTTAATGAAAACTTTTGCAGACTTTCTGGTTGCAGGGAAGAAATTACTTCCATTATACACTGAAGAATGAAATCCATTAAATCTCTTTTAACTCCTGACTGCTCAGCAACTTGGATGGGTTGAAGATTTCAATCTACATACACAGTACAGGTACTGTTCTTGGTTTCATTAAATGTTTCTTTTTTCAATAGACTGTCTACCTTGCCCAAAATTTAAAATTGGCTTCATGAAAACCACTGTCCTGATAGATATGCATCTGACAGGGAAGGGCATCATTAAACATTAATTTCCAATGATGTAAGCTTAGAAATACTAATGGAGGTAATTACTTGCCAATAGCCCTTATTAAAGCTTTAATATATCAGTCTCCATAATTAGCCTCTCTGTACAAGGACAGCATCTGGCTCTTCAAATCTCTTTCCAGGAAACACACTGAGGAAGAAGTCCAGGTTTCTACAGACTCTGTTTTTTATGCTGTACATACACTTTTTTGAACTTTGAAATCATAGTAGGACAAGTTTTTCCTTGCTGTTTTTTAGATTTTCAGGGTTGTATAGATCTCCTGATAATTTAACTATGATATATTAGATACCCTAGCCTATTCTTACTTCTGTTTTTCTGTCCCAGTTCTTCCTTGTTCTCTGTCACAGTAGGCTTTATGACACAGATCCCAGTTACAGCTAATCCTATTAAAAGCTCCAGTTATTTGAAAACATGTTCATTGGCAAGGACTTAAAAATATTGAGAGTCCTCTGTGAAGTACTTGCAGGGATTTTTTCTCATTGGTCTATCATCAAAAGAGATCTAATCAAAGACCTTTTTGGATAATTCAACCAAAAGAGCAGATAAATTTTTGGAAATATTTCTTTCTTTGAGCTCTATGAAGGCCAAGATCTGGCAACAGCAACTGGACAGATGGGTCAGGTTTGACTGGCCTGTTCATCACACTAAAGCAATACAGAAATATTCAAACCATTCTCCTTTCAGCACTAGAATGGGTTCCTATATTTTCACAACTCAGCAGATTTGTGGAGTTTGTTTGCAAATCCAGACTCCTCCATTGTGTATTTTATCTTTCCACAGCATTGCTAAGGACAAGAAAATGATCAATTTTCTTGTCCTTAGCAATGGCGGAATTGGCAGTGAATTTAGCACAAAACATTGCATTATGGATCTCGCTTGCAGAAACCTGCCTTAGAAGCACTGTGGGACAATCACTGCCTTTTAGCCACATTATTACTGCTCCAGAAGCTTCATCATCTTGTTAACAATTTCTATTGTCCTTCTATTGCAAATATATATTTTTTTAAGGTGATAAATGTATTTTATGAAATTTCATAATGGAGATGGCACTTCATCATGCAATAAAAGGTTTGGTAATATCAGGTCTTGCTGAAATAGCTAATTGTGTTGCATTATCATATTACATTAACAGCACTTGGGAATTTAAATAGAGAACTCTTGTCCCTACAGCAGTGGCTGTTATTCAGAATTAGTGTGGTGTCAGCTGGAATGCTTATTTAAATGGTTGAGCATAAATAATTTTATCATCTTTGTCTCTCTCCTGTAGCCATGATATTATGGAAAATCCTTGCTGGGATTTTTCCTCTCCTGAGAAGCTGAGGAGCCTCAGGAGAGAAAGGTAAACAATTCCTATCTGCTGCTGTGGAATGCAACAGGTGCATCTGTGATTGGTGCATGTAGATTGTTTTCCATTGATGACCAATCACAGCCACCTGTGCCAAGGCTGTGAGCAGTCACAGGATTTTTGTTATTCTATTCTGTTCTGTTCGTTCTTGTTGAGCCTTCTGATCTCTCTGTTCTTTTAGTATAGTCTTAATGTAGCATTTTAATATAATATCTAACATAATAAATCAGCCTTCTGAAATGGAGTCAAGCCTCGTGTCTCCACACACGGAGAAGAATCATCAACACTCTCCCCCTTCTCTGATGTGACCTGGGTAGTGTCATGAAAGAATGGATTTGAGATCTGCCCTCCTGCTGCAGTTTGGAAAAGGAGTAAGATAGAAGTGTTTTTCCATGTTTTTAATTTAAGTTTTACTTCCAGATTGTCAGTCTGAAAGCACATCACATTTACTGATGTAGTCTTATCTAAAAGGTAAAATGAAAATCAAACTGCTCCCAAATTGTGTTTCTTTCTTTCATTCCATATTCTAAGTGTAAAGAGTTGTAAATTAGAAATGTTTTGCATAAACCACCCCCTCCCCCCTCTTTCCTCCCCAGTTTTTTTAAATTTAAATCTCTTTTGGGGCAATGATATATAGAAAAAAAGTCTTAGATAACAACATCCAAGCTCAGTGATAGGGATAAAAATATAGTCATTTTGAAGTTCTGAAACTCATAAAATTGCCACATCTAGTTTATTCTGCATTCCCCAGAGCATTAAGCAGTTTAGCACAAAACTAATTTCTCACCAAACAGCTCAAGGCAGTTAGTGCTCAGTTTGGTTCCAAAGAATTAAACACACTGTTATAAATTGTGATAGTCTGTGTAACTCTGTAGATAAACCCATTTTCCAATATAAGTGTACCAAGCATGAAAAAATAAGAGGCTGCTGTCATATGAGGGGTGATTACAATGGAAATAAAGGTGAAATTAAAGGAAAATTTGCTTCAAGGCTAATTAATGACAACTAGTAGAAAAGGAAGAACTTGTAAAGATCAGTGAGTAAAGCATAAATCAAAGGAATTAACAGGTAAAGGATATTCACTGTCCTAACCATTGTGAGGTGTAAATCTTACCACAGAGTGCAGCAGAATTTCTCTATGATTCTAAAATATTTATGTCACAGTGGTGTGGAGTGAAATGGATTTTCTGAGCCCCCTAATCTGCCACTATGTAAAGTCAGGAAAGGGGCTGTGATAGCTGTGACTTTAGTGTATTAATCTGGATTAATATTAAAGAGGATATATGAGCTGAGAAAGTCAGTTCTGCAGTTCCACTACATATGCAGCATAAAAAAGTATCAGGGAGTCTGGAATCTGACTCAAATCGTACAGGATACATGGGCAAAGAGATAAGAATTTCAATTTTCTAAATTCAAAGACAAAATGAGCCTGGGAGACCTGTGTGGCAATAACATTAAAATTGAAATGGAAGTCTCCAAACTGCATCCCCTGTACCCTTTAGGAGAGGGGAAAATACTGAGAATAACACACTAGTATATGATAAGAAGCTACTGTATGTATTATATAGGTCACAAGTGATTGTAGCTGTCTTCACAGATACCTTCAAACCTACATTTCATAAGGAAAAGTTAAATAAAATCAGAAACTTAAAAACTAAAACCAACACTGCAACTTAGAAATGCCATTGAGAAGATGAGGAGAGTTTCACCACTTACTTATTAAAACCAGGCTTTTATCCTTACTGTTTATAATTAAAGCACTCTTTCACATTTCTGAGTTCTCTGTCTGAGAAGAATAAGCAGAGGGATTTTGGCTGTGGGACCCAGGGACCTCCAAAAGTCAAATGCCTGCTGACTGCCAGGATGCCCTTTTAAAAGGTTACCTGTGGGAGAGCTTTCTTCCCCCTGTCCCTCACTTAGGGATGCCTCCGGTAAGCTCTGCAGGAGAAAGCTGTTTCATGACATTCTGCAACACACCTGTTTCCTCCCAATGACAGCCTGATATTTCTAGATTTGCTGCAGGTGTATCTTCTTTTTCCTAAGGAAATGTGTGCTTCACAGCAACAGGATACAGATTAAGAGCATCCTGCCTGTCTGAGGGAGGAGAAGCCATCCTAATCTCAAATGACTTGGAGATGGCCTTAAAGAGTGATTGTACATATCTCCATTTTTATTTGTATTACACCAATCCTTTGATATCAGAGCTGAACCGTGCTCATGTGGAGCTAGGAGCACAGCTAGGAAGGAGATCGTCTTTCTCTGAAACTCCTAACTCAGGAAGAATGGACAAGAAGGGAGAATGTCCCTGGGGTGGCATTATATGCCAGTGATGGAGCTGACAACTGAACCTTGTGCTGTAAACTTCCAGGTTTAGTTCCTGAGTACACTGCTGTAACTGCAGTGAAACCCTCCACATTGCGTTTAGCCCTTGCAGGTTTAAGCTAATTTTCAGCAGGTCTTGTGTTTTTTGATACACGGGTAAAATTCCCTGCAGTGCTAAAAGGCATCTTGAGACATAGAGACCATAAAAATCCCAGTGTTTGAATGTAAAAGTAGGTCAAATGTATGTCAGATGCTTTGCAAAAGGGGGAGTTTTGCAAATCCTGTGGGTCATGCTATATTCTTTGGATGCATTCTTGTTCTTGAATTGTTTTTCCCCTGAGTTGTTTCCTTTTCTGTGCTGTTGTTCCTCAGTTAGCCTGAGATGTCTGGTGCAACTCCAGGGAATTTATTAATCTGACAGGCAGGGAATGCAGCATTCAGTTTTTTATTATACACTTCATGTTTCTAATGAATCCAGTATGTTTCAGCTTAATGGAGCTGAATTACTAGTACTAAACACTGTACGCAGCACTGCTAGCACCTTTCATTGCTGCTGCTGCTCCAGTGTCAAACTCTCTTCTAGGCCAGATGGCAATGGTGCATAGACTTCTACACCATACAGAGCAGTCAGATAGATAGATCTTTTTGGGCTATGTAAAATGGAAGGTTCCTGAAATTAGATCTTTGGACTTTATTTCAATTTGTACAGGAGTTTTCAGTGGCAGGGTTCTAGATTTTGCATCAGAAGTGACCTGTCACAGAGAAGAATGTAAGAGAAAGTCAAGATTTTGATGGACACAGATGGAGCTAAGCTAATAATTAGTTTCCTGTTCCTTAATGTTTGTTTTTTTTTTCGATTCACTTTCTTCTAGAAGATTTTCT